AGGGGGGGAAGCTGTTAAAGCTTTAGGCTATTCTGGAAGAGGAAAGACGAAGTTTACTCTTCTCCTTGATAGGAACAAAAAAGGTTCAATACCAACAAAGTTCATGTATTCCTTTTTCTTTTATATTTTGTACTTCTGATTGTATCATTTTGAGGTTAAATTTAAAATATGCGGAAATTTCAAGTTGCCTTGTTGCCTTGGGAAATCATTCTTGTGCTTTGGATTTAATTGGGCAAATGCAGTGGTCAGTTGTTTTCTTTGGTTCTGGAGCATTTGCTTTAGCCATGTTTTTCTATGGGTTGCTATCTAATAAGAATAGGGTTACTTGAATAAACAAGAAACAGAAGCAAAAATACAAAGATTAAAGACAGAAATTGAAAGAAATGTGAAATTCAAGAGTAAAATCTCCAAATTTCAAGTTTAAGTGCTAAGAACCCTAATTGATCTTAATATTCAAAATTATTAGATTAAAACTAATTCTGATACTAATTCAATCAATTCAAGAACTTAGAATCAAAAGTGATCTAGACACCTATTTTGAAGAAATTAGAGACAATAAGTAGTATAATAAGAATAATTACCTTCTTTAATTTATTTTAATAGAAATCAAAGATATCCAGTTAAGAATGCATCTTACCTCTTATAGAATCATTCTTATCAGGTTGCAAGATAAATCCATAGTTACTACACACAAAGGTGTAAAGAAGAGACACCTCTCAAATAATATTAATCATGTCCTTTTTGAAAATGACAAAATCCACCCTTATATAGAGAGAGAGAGGAAACCTATCCCAAATAGCTTGTGATTCACATCCTAATTTTATAGAAATAATAACTAGGAATCTTTTTAACTAGGTATGAATTGCACTCAATTATGGGCTGAATTTTCATTTCTTTTGGGATCTATTCAGCCTCTTTTTGGGCGAGAAATTCAGTTCTTTGGGCAGAAATTTCAGCTCTTCTTTGTACTCCTTTTGGATCCCATATGCACTCCTCCTCTTGGGCTTCATATAGCCCAATCTTCCTCTTCTTGAATTCAGACTTGAACCATGAAATTCGTGTAGTACTTAATCCACTCCGTGCCCTGATTCTTGAATCATTATTGGGCTCATCTTTGGACACTTCTTCCACAATAAGCATTTTCTTGATTTCCCATTGATGTCCGTCAATCTTTAATGGAGGTATGCCATGAGAATGCTATCGCCATCCTTACATACATGATGCATCTAACAGAATCCGAGTACCATCGGGCTTCAGAGTTCAGTGTGTAAACGTCATTCTGATTTCAATGTTTTCTTGTTAATCTTGTATATTTGGAGAAAATTTATCAGTTTAATGCAATTTGCTGTGTTTGGTTTATTCAGTAGCTTATATTATATCTTGTTGGTCATCTGATTACTAGGTTTTGAAGATATGGATAGCATATTTGCATCACCTGATGATTTCAAGGGCATGAAAAACAGGGACAAGATTAGAGGGCTCCATCTGCTGGAGTACTTTGTTAACCGCTGTCATGAAATTGGGGTACTGGGATTTCCTTCGATGAATCTTGGCATGAAAATTTAAGCCTAAGTTACTAGCTAATATTTAAGCTTTACTGGTTGAGGGCACTATTTAAAGTTTGTCGCCCTCAAAATCTCTAAAGTAGAAACACTTTCAAATTTACTGCATGCCACTTTATTTGTAGGTTCCTTGTGAAGCATGGATAAAGAAAGGTGATCCCAAGGAAGTCATCTGCCACGAAGTCAAACGTGTACAGCCAGATCTTCTTGTGGTTGGTTGCCGTGGTCTTGGTCCTTTTCAGAGGTATGCATAATTGTAGTAGCAGTTACATATTTTTTTAATTTTATTGTTATGTTACTATGGGCATCGCCATCTTATTGAGTGTGTTTGCCCTCCACCTGGTCTCCCTAGCAAGAACATGCGTCTGGAAACATCATAAAGTATCTAATGGCCCAATTCGTGTTCTTTATCTTCTTCCACTTAGCAACAGAATTAATGACCATTCAAAATTTTCATAAACAAAAAGATCTAGTGTTCATTTGTGCTTAGAAATGGAAGATTGCAGCAAGTAATATTCACATTAAACCATGTTTGAGGACAAATGGCAGTAGCAAACCAATCTCACTAAGCCCATGATTCCAACCACTACACGTTCTATGCATAGTTAGAAACTCTTTAACACCCTTTTGGGTGGTTGTTACCAATCGTTTCGTACCATATAGTTTTGTGGTATATTGTATTGTATGGTATTGTTTTGTTTTGTGGATAGAAAGTTGGGATTGATTATATCAGTTGGTGTGGTTTAAATTATTTTATGACTTGCCGTTGATAAATCTAAATCTACACAATAGCTGTTTAGTAAGCTTATCAGACCATTTCTTTTTTTATCAATTTATCACAAATAATGCCTTGTAAATGTATTAAGTCTTAAACTATGCAACTCCTAATGAAATTAGTCAAAAATAAGTTAATGATATTAACAACAATAATAAGTGCGCGCCTTGGTTTGGGCTTGGGACTTCCATGTGGGAGGTCTCAAGTTCGAAACCCCTTGCCAGCGAAAGCAAGGGGTTTGTCTTCTGGGTCGAGCTCGTCGCACCGGGCTTGCCTAGTGCGGGTTACCTCTCCTATGTGGTTTGCGAGCTATTGCATAGGAGCATGGGTTTTACCCTGTGCGCACCCAAAGGGTAGCGGCTGCGGGTTTCCCTTGTCATCAAAAAAAAAAAAGTACGCGCCTTCAATATTTTGGATCATAAATAGTGTTTCCTAACAACATGCATTCATGTAATCCTTTTTTTTGTATAAGGTAGAGATTTAATTAAATAGTACCAAGATTGTACAGGAAAAGAAACAAAAACACCATAAAACAAAAAACAGCCTACTACACTCTTCTTCCTAGCATATCCAATAAATCCATATACTGGTTCGAACTATCTATTGAACTACCTTTATACCAGAATCACAAATTTTGTAAACATCTATCCATAATTCTAGAAACGTGAGTTTCTCAGCCCTTGCGTTCCTCTCTAGCCAAATTATCCATAAGATGCGTAGTGGAATAGTTCTCCATATCTACTTTTATCTCTTTGGTATCACCTGTTGTTGCCAACCTTCCAGCATTACCCACATGCATTCATGTAATCCATAAAATGGTATTTTTCAATTTCTGTATAATATAAATAATGTTAGGTTTTTCAATTGCCTGCCGACATTGTGGTTGATAATAGATATTTGCATTTACCCCATGACATCAATCAGCATTAGACACAAGTCTGCATACAACAACATTAATTATGCCTCAATCCCAAACAAGTCACGTTTGTACAAATCTGCATGTTGGCAAATAAATATACAAGTTTTTGAGTGCAAGCTTTTATCCAAATTCATCTCCGTTACCATTTGTCGTATCTCACTCTCTGGAATGGGAAACATAGTTCCCATTGACTAAATGATACATCCCACCTCAACAAGTCAGTCATGTCCTAAGGATGATCTTCTTTGGACTTTTTACTCCTATTAGAAGACGGTGCGTCTGATTAGGCACTCAAGTAGGTTCATTTGGAGTTGGTTGATCTTCCTCAAATTGCCGATATAGTTCTTGAGCCTTTTTCAAGGAGGCAGCGCCCATTTCACTGGGTATGTTGTTGTTTTTCAAGGAGGCCGAATTCATAGAAACCATTTCATCTACCTCATGAATGGTCAATGATGAAGTTGATGAAATGGTTTTTGTGACCTTTGATGAGGTAGATAAATGGTCTTTATGAATGCTTCCCGTTCCAAATGCCAAGGAATATGAGCTATTTGAGTAAGATCAATGAACTCCTTATGCACCTAAATCAAATGCCTATTCAAGATAATGTTGTTTAAACTTTTTACTCCTATTAAGTTAGTGTCTCTGAATAGGCTTTTTTTTTATGGCACCAACTTAATAGGAGTAAAAAGTTTAAACAACATTATCTTGGAGACATGGGTGCCTTGTTGAGAAGTGAGATCGATCACTTTGCCTATTGCCTTTCAACTATGCCGCCTATTCTAGGAAGTGAGACTTGAAAAATGGAGGAGATGATTTAGAGTCTAGTATGGTCCAAAAAACCTATACATTTATTTGTCAACATGCAAGACTTGTGTTGAACACTGTGGATGTCCATGGAAAGAACACAAGTCTCTTTTATTGGCTTGATGTTAGTTGACTATTGAATTAGACTAACATTATTTATCTCATACCTATTAATGATTTAATGGACAATATAAATGTTGCATTTCTAGTAAATCATTATGTTATGGATTATATGAATGCATGTTGTTTAGAAAATTTACTTATGCCCTAACTAGAACATAAGCAGCTATTTAGTGAGAAGGAACGCTACTGCTCCAATTTAGCTTCACTCACTGTGAAAATTTAAAAGGCATAAGGATATTAGGGTACACATTATCTAGAATGAAAAGATGAAAGTTGAGAGTGAGAGTGGGAGAGAGAAACCGGAGCAGTTATGAGAGATGAAAGTTGAGTTTGAAATCTGATTTTGTTTTGAATTAATTTTTTCTTTTGCATTTTGGAGAAGTTTAACAACTTTTAAAAAATGTTGTTTCAGTCCACAATTAACTTAATAAAATTTCCAAGTGACCTTTGACCTTGGCTGGTCAAATGTGTCACCAATATTAATTTTGAGACTCCAAAGACACCCTCACCTCAATTTTCTCTAGTCACTTGGCCTTTATTATGTTAATACAGTAGTTGTCAATTTGCAATTAACAGACGCTAGTACCAATCCTCAATTTGATTACAAGCCTTTCAACAGACAAGTTTTTTCAGCTCTTTTCTGATGCTTTGGCATTTTCAGGAATGGAAAAAAAGTTCTGATTGTTGAGTTGCAAGCAGAAAAGTAGTTGCAAAAAATGTTGCAAACAGAAAGGCAAAAAAGATGCATTAATCAATAGGGCTTAAAACACCAGTCACTGAAATTCAAGCTAGTGATTACAAATTTAGAAATGATTAATCCTATAGAAAAAAGATTCATACTTTCACAAAAAGTCCTATATAAAAAAGATTTCATTTCCAAAACAGAAACTTAAACTTCCCGAAAAAAGAAAAGAGAAATTGCTTATTTCTTCTTAAAGGAGAATTCTGAACACCCCAGTGTAGCACATAGTGATCAAAGCACTTCTCATCGTGTAATTTTCCACTTGGCTTTAGCCTGCCCTGGGTCTCTGTAGTCTGTTTCCAGCACCCTATGATCTGGCTGCTCCTACCACCACCTGTTAAGAGCAGTGTTCTTAAAAGCGAGAGGCGACGAGGCGAGGCGAGGGGTTTGCGCCTATTTCAGGCGAGGCGTGGCGAGATCAAAAAGGCGAGCCAAGGCGAGGGGTGACGTGGAATTGGCGATGCAATAGGCGTCGCCTTTTTTTTTTTTTTTTTTGTAGTCTGAATTTTAATAATTAAAAAGCCAAATAATCAAATTAGGGTTTTTTTGGGTATTTTTTCAAACTTATGTCGCGACTGCTCCTTCTCATTTCGCGACTGGAGACTTGAAATCAATCCCTCGACTGGAATTAGAGTTCGCAACTGCTGCTGCTGCGATTGGAAACTTGAAGTCGACTGTCGCGACTGCTGTTGCTGCGAGTTCGCGACTGCTGCTGCTGCTCAGGTACTGCTTGAAGTCGACTGGAATCTCTCTTCTCTTCTTTTCTCGAATCAATCTATCTTCTCTTCTTTTGCCCTGTTTTTAGTACTCTCACAGTCCCTCTGTTTTTTATTGTGAAGACTGAAGTCTGATTTCTGAATAAGAACTGAACTACTGAAGCCACTGCCCGCTGCCTACATTTTTTTAAAAAAATTCTTCTATAATTATTTTGGTTAATTGTAACTTTTGTGAGAGTACTTTTAATGGATATTTATATATGTTATGTTATTGCTATTGAGATTTTGGATATTTATATATGCAATTAAATATTTTTAATTTTTGGTATTAATTGGCGCCTCGATTCAAAAAGGCGAGCGGCGCGTCGTGGCGAGGCAGGCCCTTGTCGCCTTTTGTCGCCTCTCGCCGTCCAAAACACTGGTTAAGAGGAAATGACAAGTATTTACAAGCATCCTGATCTCTCCAATTCTCCTCTGACATAGTTTTTTTTTTTTTTTTGATAACCGAGAAATCCGTCTGTGACCCGCCCTTTGGACCAATCACAGCCTTCTAAACTTGGTGGATAATGGGCCCGCCCCTCTACCCTTCTCCACTTAAATACCGGGCTTCGCTTTGCATGGTGTGGGGCATGAACCTGCGACCTAAGCCACAAATCCTCCACCTTTTGCCACTTGAGCTAGGCCTTGGGAGCCTCCTCTGACATAGTTGATTGCCAGATCTAATTCATTTAATGGGATTACTAAGTTGTCTTAAAAGCTTCTGGTAATCACCAATACATGGACTTCAGTGTATACCCTGATGATGTAGAAAGTCGATCATGAATCTTGTAGCCAAAAAGGCTTGAGCAAGGTCCTCAATTACATTAACCTTCTCTCACTTTATCGGGAAAACTCGAATCCTTACTCCCTGTGCACAACAGATAGTCCAAACATGTTCAACATCAATATTTTGCTGCTCTTGTGAGCGTTATATAGCCATGGCCTCCCTCCTTTTTTCCTTTTTTGAGAAACGGTGATGTGCATATATGGCACCAACGAGGTACTGTTATATTTACAAGGTACCAGCAGAATATCCCTTCCAATTCTTAAAGGGATTGTAAGAGTTCATTCACTGCTTGAACATCATTTACAAAATGTTGGTTACACAAAAAATGAAACAAAAGTAAACAGATTCATCTTGATCCTTTATCTTCAAAACAGCTAGTGTTTCGCTCCCTCCAAACCGTCTACCATATGCAAGCTGGAGTGGTTTACCACCATTTCCTTTGATTGGAATTCTTGCCTCTGATGCTCCAACATTTCAGTAAGTCACAAGTACACCTCTAATGCTCCAACTTAGTCCAACCATGTTAAGAAAGAGTTGCTCTAGCTGGTCCTTAAGTTGACAGTGCAAAAATAAATGATTGATACTCTCAGGCTTGTCTACACATAGATAACATCTAGAGCATAAGTGAAATATGTTTTTTTGGAGTGTTTCCAATGTTAAACAAGCCTCTTGGGATACCAACCAAGTGAAGAAGCCACTTTGTAAGGTGCATTTATTTTCCAGATTTGCTTCCATGGCCAAAGATTCCTTTGCTGCCCACCAGAATTTAGGTGAAAGCAACATGATTTTACTGTGAAGTTTCCCTTACTATGAATCGCTCCAAATCAGCTTCCTCACATTTGTTGTTGTTCAGACCTTGACAAGGCTCTAGTACTCCCAAAATATCAGCAAGCCTTCCCATTTCCAGTCGTTCAAGAGTCTACTATTGTAGAAATACCAATGTCCATGTTTTCTGCTAGTAGCCAAACTTGTAAAGATCTACTCACTTAATATACTTCGCAGTCTCCTATTACCCCAGCTTTGTCATGACTCATGATGAGTAATATGGAATCTGTTTGTCATTTTACTATTGCTTTTCAGAAAATAGGAGTCATGTGATTTTTAAATAACCTCTACTTTGGGACAGTGCTTAATTGAGAGGTAAATATTTCCTTGCAGGGTTTTCGTGGGAACTGTAAGTGAGTTCTGCGTGAAGCATGCTGAATGTCCTGTTGTCACAATTAAGCGCAGTGCAGCTGAGACTCCTCAGGACCCAATAGATGACTAATTCATTTGGTGTATTTGACCACTTAATGATCAAAGATGCATACATATTGGTTGAATGACTTGTGATGGTGTGGAAAGATTGTGGGGGATTTTCATTCTGGTCTTCTAATATAGCCTATATCTGCCTGCCTTGTGGGGTTTGTGTTCGTACATGATTGTTGAGTACATGTGTCTGAGCTTTGAGTGCTCCTCGTTACGCTTGGTATAGTGTTTGTATATTTCTCCTTTATTCTGATGAATGTGTTGCCTAAACATCTGTATGTATGCTATGCTTTGCAATCGTAAAAGAATTTTCATCCTTGCACGTCTGGGAGAAAAATAAGGGTGTTTTGTGAGCGTATAAGCCTTTTCCGCATGTTCATGCGTTTGGTGAACACCAATAGTGTTCCCTAACTTACGGTTGCATTTCGGGTGTGTTTTTCGGAATTATCCCTTCCCAAAACAAAATCCCAACTCTATTCCATTTTTGTCATTTATACTTTTACATGTAAAGATACATTCTGATTTTTTTTTAAAATGGGAAAAGGGCATAGATTCCCCCATGAATTTGTTTCGAAAAGGCAGTTACATGCTTAAACTATCATGGTGACCTATTACGCATTTTTACTATTCAAAGGTGAATTTATTACCACCATGAGACGTATAACACCACTCTCACATTATGTGATGTATTACACTCTCTGCCACGTCAGCGCTATGCCATAAATTATAATTTTTTATTTTATTTTTTGTATTAATTAACTTTTCTTTTATTCTAATTAATCCCTAATTAATTATAATTCTTTAATAATTATATCTTCTTCATCACTAAATCCCACCCATTTTCAATTCTCATTTCATTGGAAAATCATATCCGGCCCCACCTTCACTATTGATTTTGTTCTTCACCGCCACTATATCGCCTTCAACTCTTCTTCTTTGTCACCCACACCAAATACCACCACCACCATTATCAATATCGATTTCTTCTTCTACTTCACCACATTCAATTACCTATTTTAATTTTTGCCACCCGCCACCAATCACCACCAAACCCATAAAGTTGCTATCACCACCAAACCCAAAATTTGGTTAACAACCAAAATTTCTGTAAGTCAAAAAAATGAAAAGGATAGAAACAATCAACCGAAATTTTTCTAGATAAAATACAATTTGTCACGCCCCAAACTAGTGGGGGCGTAACTGGCAGTTAGTACTTTATTCAATCAAGTTAGCCACTCTAACAAAGTGAGAAGAAAACAATGAGGGCCAAAATATCATCTTAATAAACTTCTGAAATAAGATAATTAGATCGACGAGGTCACAAAAACTTCAATGGCATAAAGAAAGGGCCGACAAGGACAACTTAAGTGGTAAAGAACAAGCAAGCCGACGAGGCTACAACTTAAATCATATATACAATAAGCCGACGAGTCTATAAACCGAAAGTTGAAAGGACTAAACAAAGTGTCCACAAGTGTCTACGAATATTACCACTCAACTGGTTTGGGAACGACCCCAACAATAACAATTATATACAAAACTCGAGTATACAAAATCTACAGACAACCTACAGCTCCAGGAAGAATGGAGTTTACCAATCCTCAGCTTACACAACACCCATATTATAGGGACGATCAAGACCTATGTCTGAACCTGCAACACGAAATGTAGCGTCCCCAGGCAATGGGACGTCAGTACAAATAAAATGTACTGGTATGTAAGGTGGAAAAATAGAATCCTAAAAGTTTGTGATAAAAAGGGTAATAGAGATACCACCTGAAACTTAAACTCTAATAACCTCCATGGCTGAAATTTCAACTCATACTAAATAAATATGCATGGTATGCTCGTGTAATCATATGTCGTGAATACATATTCCATATATAATAAGCCACAATGCAACTATCATTGTAACTATCTTGTTAGCTTTCAATCAAAAGCTAACAAGATTTTTAGTTACATATTTATTATTTAGTTAAATAAATAAATATGTCATTGTATGAGCTATTTATTACTCATTCCTTTTGAATTTGTTAATCTGATTTTAATCTGACACATAGTTTACGAAAGTAAATTAGATTTTGAGAAAAAACACTAAGTGATACTTGAAGTTGTCCCAGATTTTCAAAAAGACACCTTAACTTTACGTGCGTCCTATTACCCCACAAAACATTCAAAATCACAATAAATACACATTTTTTACACAATATTTTCACTTTGGACAAAAATATCCTTCGAATGTGCAATTTCTTAAAAACAAAAAGTCGGACCCATTATTGATGTATTGAAGGATGCTTTGGTAATTTCCTATGATGAATTCGTTTGTTTGTTTCTTTTAAATTTATTTTACTATACTAAATAATTGTATAAAATATTATGAATCACGATAATTAATTACTTAAATATTTAAAAGATATAAAAATATATAAA